TAATGAGAGGCATCCATGCAACATCAAAAAAAAAAAAAAAATAGTAATATACCTACGTTCAACTCGTAATAAATTGCAAAGTGCTCGATTTTGTGGAACACACATCACATGAACTACATTTTTTATGCATTAACCACACAACAGAACCGTAATCAAGATGAGGTTGGAAAAGTGAAGGCCTTATATTATAAACTCTTGCAGCGAAAATTAATTCACATTTCTTAGGATTCGACAAGAATTCATTGCGCGTCATCCGCTTAGAAATCCGTTTTAAATCTCCATAGAGACGTAAACATACTCAATTGTATTAAAATCAGTATTACAGTGGAATGGTACTAAACTGTATAGCATTTGAGATATCATTTATAAAAAAATGATAAATAGTAAATAGCAAGGGACCCATTGTACTTCTCCTGCAAGTGACTGTAATCTAACAAACTATTACCGTTGACTGAAAAAATATGATATCCTCAGACGGAGTTAGATACACATGAAAAAAGCGTAAAGTTGAATCATCAAAACCAACATGAACAAATTAGTTTCTTTAGAATAATAGAATGAGAGACCACATCGAACATAACCATCAACCTTATTTGAGGTCTATACTTTATTTATGTATTAATAATGTGTTGTTAATGTTTCTTCATCCCCTTCTCCAGATCATCATGCCACGAGTCATGCCAGCGGCATTGAGATGTCTGTGTAATACGCAGAAGGGGCACCGATGTAAAAGGAAAACAAGGCATCCGACACGGATTTGCCACCAACATCGAAGAAACTTTGCCGACGATGCCGAGTGAGTTTTAGAACAGTTTTTATCTATCTTTTTTTAAAGTACAGTAGTGAAAGTTTTAATCAAAGGATTGGAAATGTTTATAACCATTTGAATAGACCAAGAGCATCATTAGGTTGGGAAAGGTGGACATAATTATACCCCCCAATTGTTCTCAAAAGCGTTTTCGAGAGACATCTTCTTATTGTTTGTCCCATCCTTTTGTTTTAATCAGAACACTGATTTTCTTATTGTTTTTACTAAACACGCATAACTATAGATTTTGCAAGCATTGAAATGCCCTTTAAACATGAAAAAACAATTATCCCGTTCTGTTGAAGGTCCCGCCAAAATGTGAGACTCTGCTGACTTTCTTGAGCAGATCAGGTATCATATTTTTAAAGGAAGAAAACCGATGATAGGAGTGCAGCTCTACATTTGTTTTGTAATGGGAATACTACACTGTCGCTCATCTAGTTGGAATATTTGTTTAACCTCAATTTATGGAATTATTTTGACAATGATTTATTCCTAATAGATCTAAATAATAGTACACATTCTCAGATTTTATTGACTAATAATTTGCCAGTGTTTATTTTGCGTGAATGCTAAAGCATGTGTATGCTACTATGCTTATCAACTAGGGGACCTACGCCCTTAAGTCATAAATGACAGTAATGAGGATTAATGCCCCACAAAAGGGCACTAATATGGCACATCGACACGGATTTGATCCTGGGGCCTCACAGTTACGATGCCATTGCTTTACCACTGAACCACGACTGTACGCAGCGGGGGCTAGGGTAGGGGGCAGTTCCCACAAATAAAAAAACCCAAAGAAAAATGCAATCAATTTTCAATAATTATTGAATTTTACCCCGGTCCCCAACATAAAACATTTCTCTGTACGACCATGCATGCATTATGGCTCAAGACATGGGCACACAGAAGATTTTTTCTGTTGGGGACCGGGGGTAAATTGAATGCCGAGAGGATTCTATTCCTTGAACTCTTACTTTTATTTCTCATTATATTTCAAAGCATTTATCTTGTGTTAATCACACCCAGGCGCGTACACAGGAGGAGGGGGGGGGGGGGGGGGGTTAAACCCCCCCTTTGGTATTTGTATGCGTGTAACCCCCCCCCCCCCCCCCCCCCCCATCACATCACCCCCCTAAACACCCCCCCCCCCCCCCCCTTTGGATTATTATTATTATTATTTTTTTTTAAAATTTTTATTATTAAAAAAAAAAAAAAAAAAATATATATATTCCCATGGCTGACCTAAAAAAGTGACCTTACCCCCCCCCCCAACGGAGCCAAATGTCAAATTTTTTAAATTTCGAGACCAAAAAAAAAAAAAATTGTCCTCTTAATATAATAGGATAACATGAAGCTTTTCAAATTAAATCAATGACATCATTCGTTATCAGTTTAAAATATATTGATATGTTCATTAGTATTTAGCAAATGCTATTTTAATTCAAATCAACGGAAATTTATTACCTAACAAGGAATTCAATCTTGTAATATTTGCATATCCACACTTGAGATACCCAAAGTTTTATATTATAGAACTTTTGGTATCTCAAGTGCATGTGAGTCTATATGTTGAGCCAAGATTGTCTTTTTACTTTGCTTATAAAAAATTATGAGCTTCAGAAACAACTTTATGAGGCTATTCAAAAAATGTACAAAAAGTAAAGATTATATTTCACTTGATTTAAGAACAGATTACCATAATGTAATACGATATTACAAATATATGCAACAGTATTTTTTGTTTAAAAAGTCCACATTTATTACAAGGATACCAATAAATTGTATTCATGCATCATGATTTATTCTGTGTTTTATTTTGTTATGATATTATGGATTTATATTCATGATTGTCATTGCATTTTGCTGTTACCAAACGAGGCATCATGGAAGACCACACTACAAATTCGTTGTGTAACCACTTTATTGCGTGGTTCAGTGTTAAGTTGTGTAAAATAACACTACTTCACATAACGAATTTGCAGTGTAAAGTTGTGTATTTTTTTATACACAACTTAAGACAACCCCTGGGTAAAGAGTGAACCACCCAATGTTGTGTAAAGTCGTTACATAACAAATTTGCAGTGTACCATGTTTAAGTAAAAAATAATTAGATAGATTATTTATTTTAGTCAATTACTAAATTATACGTTATATATATTCAGCTCAACTTTTAAAGAAAAAACGTTTTGTTGTTCATTTTGATATGTTTACAAAATAATTACGTCACTGAGTATATAAAGGCCTCCATTGATCTCTTGCTAATTATGTTTTCTCTCAGAGCGACTTGATAAATGATGATGACATATACGAATTATAATGTTTGATTTATTCTCTAAACAGAATGGAAGCTTTCATCGATCGCCGACCTCGTCGCTGTTTGGCATTGACGCTGAAAGCCGCTCAATGCAAACGCAATGGCATATTCGTTTTCGGCTACGCATTGCATGATTATTGCATGCAACATTGTAAGTATAATCATTAATCTAAAATGGTGGACAATCATCGATTTGATGACAGTTGCATGTGTTTATCGTGGGGTTTTTTTGGGGGGGGGGGGGGGGAGTGCGGGATGAACGCAAATCAGTTTTCTTCAAATAACCTGGATGGTAACCTGGCATTATGTAATACAGAATTAGACACCAAACTAGAAAATGCACTGGGTATTTTGAATATCCTTAATTTACGTTATATAATTTTTGTATTAATTATTCAATAACAACAAAAGTAATAAGCGCACTGAATGCGGAGTGATTGATTGATTGATTTTTATTCGACAAGCTTCCAACATACAACAATATACAATAATAACAGATCAAAAATAAGTCAGCTTGAACAGGATAACCCACGAAAGCTCGAGAGCTTATTTCCAGTGGGGTCCCTTACAGACATGTATACAATTAATAAATTAAAATAGTAATATTTACAGACAGATAAGAAAATTAAAAGAACTACTTATCAAAGATAATAATAACAACATTAAACTGATGATAGAAATGATATTAAGTACAAGAAGAAAAAGAAGAAGGAGAAGAAGAAAAAGAGGAGAAGGAAGAAGAGGAAAATAATGATGAATTTGTAGAATTTCTATAACGTACGAAAACATAAGTATATACAACATGAAAAAGTATGAACCGACAGAAGAATAACAATTTCAATCATATAACATGTCATTCACTTCTCTTCTCTGACTGTCAAGTATTAGGTATTCCTTTAATTTCCTCTTAAAATGATCATAGTTTCCTATTTCTTTTACACCATTGGGAAGGGAATTCCAATGTTTTATGGCATTGTAATAAAACGAATTTCCAATACTACCTACTCTTTCTGGTAAGTTAAAGTTGAATCGTCTATTTCTTGTATTATAATCATGTACGTCAGTAACAAGATCGAAGTTGGATCGAATATAATGATTCGACCTAGTATGATATATTTTATGCACGTGATGCAATGCGAGTTGTTTTGATCTTTGGTCGACTTCAAGAAAACCAGCTTTAGAAAGTTCGCTATAGCCAACATGAGTTCTTGGACCAGAACAGTTGATAAATCTCACCATTTTGTTCTGTATAATCTTCAACTTCTTTTGATCTGACTTGTTTATGTTACTGTACCATGCAGGGTTAGCATAGTCAAATAAACATTGAATAAGAGCAAAACAGAGTGTACGTCTTGCTTTTAAATCCATACAACTTTGATATCTGTACAAAAATTTCAGACGAGAATTTGCTTTTTTTACAACTGATTCTACTAAAGATGAAAATGAAATTGCGCTAGCCAACTCAATGCCTAAATACTTCACAGACTCTTTTCTCTTGATTGCTTGATTATTGTGTCTCACTTTGAATTCAAATGACTTTTTAGAACTACTTTTAGAACAAAATAAAATGCTTTCTGTTTTTCCCAAGTGTAAAGAAAGCTTATTATCAGTCATCCAATCGACACACGTAGACAGCTGTTCACTGAGCTTTTCCTCAGTATATTTAGGATCAGGATTTGAATAGTGCACCAACACATGAAAGTGATTATGCATGTGTCCATCTTTCATGGGTTTTCCTTTGATTTATTCCAATTTTTAAAAAATTCTTGAATTATTACGTAACTTTTTACATTGTCAGAGGGTGTCAAAAGTCAATTACAAGCTCTATTTTGTTTTGGGATATCGATCTGAGCATGCGCATAATTGCTGACCCAGCAAACTGTGTCTGCTGTGCTTGCGGTGAGTTAATGAAATACTAGTGCTTGGAAGATGAGATTATGATGATGTCTATTGTAATTTGCTATGAATTTTGTTGTAATAGTATGTATTAAAATGATAATGTTAACAGTGATTGTCTCGATTGGTCTAAATATTACAGAGCGAATGAAATGAACTTGGTGCAATGACGATAGATCTAGGCCCTAAGCCCCATACGTTCAACTTTTTGTTAGGCCTGTTCCCCAGTCCAGCAAAGCATTAGAGAGTCGATGCTAATGCGTATTGACCTCTAGCACTGCATGCTTGCTGTGAGACAGGTATTATTATACCCATACACAAATATACACACCACACAAAATCGCATAGACTGTACACAATCATGTCGATGCAGCTGTAAGCAAAGTTTGACACTAGACTTACAATTTGAATTTTTAAAATATTCTTTTTAACATCAGTAAGTCTAGACCTAAGTTTAAAAAAAATGTATTTTACTGCTATTTAGATGTCATCAATTGTCACTAAAGTACCGATTTTGAGTGAAATCAGTTGAGTTTTGTACAGTGGTGTTTGAAATGTTGAGAATCAATTGCAAAAGCACAGCTTTTACTACACAGCCAGGATAATGATCGATGCTCCTATATGTGTGGTATAAATTAAGTATTACTTTTTAGCTCATTTGTCATGATAATTTATGTAGGCCCCCTATAGCCTTTTTATAGGTCTATATCTATTTGGGCGTATGAAACTGGAAAGCAAAGACTATACTTAAATGACTACATCCTCGGCTATTAATGATAATTAAAAAAGACGTTGACTGTTCATTAGGAGCAAGCTGTGACCTAATTAGCTGAAAAAACTAAATACCCACGCATAGGTGCATTACTACTATCCTGGCTGTGTAGTAAAACTAAAAGCTGTGCTTTTGATTCTCAACATTTGATTTAAAAAAACCACTGTACAAAACTCAACTGATTTCACTCAAAATCGGTACTTTAGCAGGGCTGTCAACTTTGGGGAACTGATTCGAGGGAGGTCGTATGCACATTTTTGTTTTGCTGAACGGTAGTGGCGTACGCAAGATTTTTCAAGGGGGTGCTAATTTAAAATTCCGAAAAATCGCGCCGAAAATTTCGCAACGACTCGCCCAGCCGCTGAATAAGCGGGGGAGGGGGGGGGGGGGGGGGGGGGGGGGTAAGAGCACATTTTTTTTTGTTCCGGCTTTGGCGGGAGGTTTTTTCATAAACCGGGAGATTCTACATCGAAGCGGGAGAGCGGGAGGAAAGGTGTGCTGGCGGGAGTCTCCCGCTACGAGCTATTGGGACGGCGGGAGAATGAGCGTGGTGGCGTGAGACTCCCTCCAAATGCGGGAGGGTTGACAGCCCTGACTTTAGTGACAATTGATGACATCTAAATAGCAGTAAAATACATTTTTTTAAACTTACTGATGTTAAAAAGAATAATTTAAAAATTCCATTGTAAGTCTAGTGTCAAATTTGCCGATCAGCCCAATCGGTCCTATTGTGTGGTGTGTATATTTGTGTATAATACCTGCCTCACAGCATTCTGAACTCAATCAATGTAAAGTAGACCGAAAATTAAAGAGAGGAGCCGACCTTACCCAAATAAGAGGCTAATGAACAAAAAAAGAAAACAAATTATAGTCTAAATATACATGTACGTGGACAGAAATTATTGTCTGGTATGGGGATCGATCCGGAAGTGTGTAATAAAACTGATCCCCATACACAAAGGGTAACCTTGCCACACTTTTTGCCAGAATCCGGTGACAAGTTTGCTTTATGTTTTTCTAGACTTAGATAAAGCTTGATTTAGAAAAAAAATGTTGATGGGAAAGAAAGTAGATTTTATTTATTTTCAAATACTGTTCTATAAAATTACATTCAAAATATTTGTAAAACATCAAAATATAAGGACTTAATTTCAGGTAACCTACAAGTATGTAATTCTATTGAAGCTACTGCGCACGATGATATCGGCAATCACACAGAAACTGCATTGTGTAACCTCCCCTCACTAACCAGTACAATCAGACTTCAGTCTCTGTGTAGAGGCAGTCAGTGGAGCCTGACATAGTCTCTTTGGCACAATCATCGATATCAGAAACTAATTGAAGCTTACGGAACAACTGATAAATGTTTATTAAGAAAATTATAAATATTTACATTTACATTTTGCAAATTTTATGAAAAATGTTGGTTTTATTTAATACCGTCCTTCCTTGCATGTGCATGATTTCTAGCGGTACAATGCTCTTTGATTCTTATTATAGTGGTACAATGCTCTTGATTCTTGTTATAGTATGGTACACAACATCATTGACTCAGAGAACAATGGAATAATAATTACAATAAACACCTTGAAAATTTATTTGTTATCTAATCAAATGCTAGCTACTTTGTACTGTATATGATCGGTCCATTTTATTTTTACTTTCTGTTTAATGTCTGAATTAATTTTTTTTTGTTGTCAATTAAAATTTATCAAATTGAATTGAAGTTTTCCTTCGCATTATGATAATTATGTTATATTGCGATCTTACAAAATTTCAAAATTTCAAATGAGGGGGGGGGGGGCACCTTGGGCAACATACAATTTTGGGGTTCATGCCCAGATGCCTTAGCTACATATGCTACTGATTGCACACTAACTTTTCATAAATATGTTTGATATAGATTCAAATATCACGTGTTACTTATATCTCTTTTTATTTATACAGATCTCATACAACAGGCTGCCATATGATCCGGTGGTCACGTGAGTACATCTCTCCATCACCCTTCAACTAAAACAATCAGCTTGTCATTTTATTGTAAAAGGGATAATAGTCTGAAGATGATTGAATCTAATTTATTGATAGCTTCAGGAACATGAGAGAAGACTGAATTGGGGTAGAAGTGAAAAAAGATTTACGAGCTCTCTCATTCTTTTAATTCCAATGTGGAACAATTTCTCTTAAAATAGCCCAATATCCTTGATTTTACAAGGCTTGATTAACAAATGTTAACTCAAAATCATTGTAATGCAGCTTTTAGACAGGGTCAGGGATTCTGTTAAAGGTAAAGACCAGTATTGGAAATCCCCCAATTTCAAAAAATGAAATGGAAGCTCTTTATTAACAATCATGTGAAAGAATATGTTTTGACTAATACATGATGATAAAAAAATTGCCGGGAAACCGCCTACTAATTGATATATTTGGTAAATTAGTTTATCTATTGGACTGTGAGAGATAAACGCACGTGTCGCGCACGTGTGCGTAGTCCCATATACATCTTTCTGTGTACAGTGCTTGTAACTTTACGAAGACTGGGCCAAATTTCTTATCAGTTTGATGATTCCAGAACCTTGCAGTACACATATATGCTAGATGATCAACCTTTTCTGATCGATTCCACAACGTTTCTTTCACAATGCAATCGCATGACCATAACTAGTCTGTATCTTTAATGTAGATATTGAGAGAATGTGGGTGTTTTGGGGTCAAAGCTTGTATAATATTCTATAAAAACTACATGTACATGTAATAGAAAGGTTGTGATTCATGAAATTACATTTAATACTCATATAATCTACCTACTGGTATAACTTTACTATGACTTTTTTCTGTTTATATAGTCAACACAAATGTACAGTATGTCAAAAGTATTAAATTAAAATTTGATTCCAATTATGTCTTATCTTTCACAGCGTCTGAATCGTGAGCTTTTCCAGTCTTTCCTCTCGTCATCTCCAGTCTTCTTCCTCGCCACTACACCTTCATCTACACACATCTTCGCCATCTACACAGACATCTACATATCCAGTCATCATAGTCGCCATCACCAACATCACCATCAACATAGAACTACTTCATCTCAGCATTCATCATTTTCATGTAAGCTTACGTTTCATTCTATTTGATAATGTTGTTTATTCATGGTGTTTCCCACAGATTTTTTTAGTTCTTTTACACTATGACCTCTTGGCCGTAGCCTCCGGACCGTGCTCTAGCCTCCTTCATATTCACTGTTATGATTTTTTTTGTATAACTTGGCATGGGTCAAGTGTCTTCTTAGGGGCCAGTATTCCATATACATGCATATTTATATATATGCATCTCTGATACTACATGGTGCACGTTTATGTACAGTGTATCTCTTTTTATTGAAGAGAGAACTTTTTCATATTTAGCAAAGTGTACATTAGGTTAAAAAAAAAATATTTTCCAATATCCTATAGTTCACTTTTTGCTTGTTATACTTCATTAATCATTATATATATACACTCACACATTTTTTTTCTCTTGCAATGTTAACTGTTCCCATCATTTGTTTAACAGTATATATTGTATGTATATATCATTATTTCACATCTTTTTTGTGATGACTGAATGAGTATTTATTGAAATGTTGTCTTTATAAAAGAAAAGTATATGTGCAAGACCTCATTTCAATAAACGTTGTGATGGAATACTGGCCCTATCTGTGAGAAACACCATGGATAGCCTTTCACTGATTTATTATTATTATACATTGTGGGATATTAACAGAAAATACAAAAAAATATCAAAATAAAAGAAATGTAAAAAAAATGGGAGCTTACAGTGATGGGATAAAGCATGGACATGTCTACTGCTGGGTTTTGTTTAATTTTTTTTTGTGTTACTTTAACTGACTCACACATTGTAATGGAAACTTAATTTTTATATCCCATGATTTGTTTAACTTTAATCATTAGAAACATATCGTTTTACACTTTTTTGGTGAAATGAATATGGGCAAAGTGACTATACTTTAAATTTTTTTCTAGAGAGCCTCATGCTTTAAATTCTTTTTCCCCTTTTGCATAATACATGTGGATTCACAAGTGCAGCCATTATTGGCTACCCAATGGGCCCTTTTCTTTTCTTTATAATGAATACATACATTCATACATACACCTGTACATACACACATATTGGTATTTATATAGTGCCTTTACAAGAACATGATTCTTATATTCCTCCCATAACTTTTCTTTTCTTTATAATGAATACATACATTCATACATACACCTGTACATACATACATATTGGTATTTATATAGTGCCTTTACAAGAACATGATTCTTATATTCCTCCCATAACCTCTCCCTAACCACACTCTCCTGCTCCTCCCATACCAGACCCCCCTCCCCCTTCATCCCTTCCAATCGTATGGCACACCTCCTCGTTCCCTCTCTCACCCCTATCCTATCTAGAGACCAAGGGGTCACACATGTCTTTGCTGGTAGAAGGATTGCACAAACCCATCTCTTCCTCATGTTTCTGCTCCTCCAAGGTTGTCTCTTCCATGGTGTGATCCATGTGATGATGATGCAGAAAGAAGTCTGTGTTTGAAGTCACCAACTACTCTTCTGGGTCCTACCTGACACCTGAACTGTGATGATTCACGCAACAGGTTGGCACTGGGTAGATGATAAGCAGGTTCTTAGAGTCAACGGGAGGTAAGGAAGTCATACTTTTATGTAGCATTAATGCCTGCAAATGCAATGACATTTTCTCTATCAGTGGTACAAAAAAATAAAAATTATTTGGGATTTATATATTACACATTCGACACGATTGGAAGAGAGTTAAAACAGGAGGGTTTAATGGGATCACATTTCCTCTATCAATTGAACAAAATTATAAGAAATATTTAGAATATATAGATTACACATTGGACACAGTTTAGCAGGATTAGTAAAACATGATGGGTAAGATAGGAGGGGGTTGAAGTTCTTACCTATTTTCCAGACTAGTTATAATGACAAAGGTCAGACCATTTCATTTCATGTCATGTCATTCCTACATTTCATTTCTACATTTCATTCCTACATTTCTTGATATAATTTTAATTCAACATTCTATATTCTAACAATGCAATTTGTATATAGGCAGAAACTAAACCTAAGAAAAGAAGCAAAACGGGATAAAATGATAATAAAGTCCATGATCAAAATAAATATCCCAAACAAGGGCAGATTGATCCAAATTCCCTACTGGTTCCTCCATTCCACAGAGGATTTTTAATTGGTTTCAGAGTGTCTAAGTCACTATGTGGAAGGAATGCAAATCATAGAGGGCATTACATGTGTACCCTTGATTCAAAATGCAGAGAGTCATGGACAAAGTCATGGACATATTCATGAGAAAGGCTCCTTCGTGTACTGGCCCTCCGTCTTACCTCCCATCCCTGGGGCGATGGGAACTGTAGCCCAGATTGGCATGAAAGCAATTGCTTTATGCAGTCTGGTTTGCACAAAGATGTAGCATTTTCATATTCAGCTATCCTCCAAGTTTTGCCACACCTCCTTTATAAGATGTAACATATACATGTAGAACATCTTAGAAGAGTTCACCATCATTTTTTTGACTCTTGGTGAAAGAGGGATGATGAATTTGACTGTATTGATATACATGTATAAATCTTTATCAAGAATTATCATTATTATTGGTACCAGTTGTCATGGTAATCTTGGCTACCTCATCAGTTCAGGGCAATTAATGCTTGAGTATTTGATGCCAAGCGATGATGGAGTATATCAGAATCATATCAGAAGTATGGCTGTAATTTAGTTGCACCTTGTAAATCACGTCTGATGTCATGTCTGAACTTTCAGTTTACCCTGAGCTGGTATAATAATACTACAGCATTTGTTATTGCGCCATCAATCTAGTAAACTATTCTAAGGCACAGAGGGAGATTATTACCCTGGCTTTTTAGCACGGCTGCCATTACAACGCTCTAGCATTTCAAGGAATTAATTCCTTCCAGGTACCCATTTACATCACATGGGCTGAGTGTGGCAAATGTACGTGTAGATCAATGTCTTGCCAAAGGACATTGTTGTACATGATGTTTAGTGGTCATTGATACCAACAATCTGTAATGCATGTATGCTAGGAGACCAGTCTGAAACCACTGCCTTTTCTGTTGCAATGATTTATGCCAACAGAAATAATAGATAGAACTCCCACTTTTTCTTCCTCTATCAAAAGCATCCACATTGCAATTTTTTGAATTTGAATTTCAATTTGTTCATAATGCTTGACTGAAATATATATGTTATTCTGACAAAAGCTTCAAAATTGGATGGGTCATATATGCTTGATATGTTCCCCCAAGGAGGCGAGTTGGCTCAGTCCGTAAAGTGTCTGCCTGTCGAACCAAAGATCTTGGGTTCAAATCCAACCCAGGCGGATGACTGAAGCCTGCATTGTGTGTTAACGTGCCCCTCCCATTGTTGCTGTGTTAAGTGGAAAACACTCTGTCCCTCAGATAGGACGTTAAATGGAGCCCCTGTGTAGAGGAGAATCACCACCTTTGCATGTTAAGAACCCACTGCACTATTCGTATAAGAGTAGGGGAAAACCCCGGTGTAGTGATCCATCTGCACACCCCCGATCAGTTATACCGGGAGGAGAGATCCGAGGGTTACAGTGATTCAGTTCGCTTTTCGCCTCCCAGGCACAGGTGACGCAAAATACTTAATGATAATAATAATAATAAATGGGAGCTATTAGAAGCACAGTAATTCCTTCTCGTCATTTTTTAATCACATCAATGTGACTGACTCTCCTGCCACATCATTCCAACTTCATTGTGATGAATATTATGTATGATACGTAAATCGACCGTCATTGTCATCTAGGTCAGCATTTTTACAGCTCCTACTGTTTTTGCAAAAACAAAACTTTCTTGTCTTTGTCTAGTCTCTGAAGTAAAACAGGAGTTTTAGAAGACAGTGCAATTATGCATTGTCTGAGAGATTAGTTGACCTCTGATTCACATATGTACTCCCATGTTCTTGACTCACAGCTATTTCACTCAGGAACATTCTCAGGTTTTTTTCTCATTCAGACTTTGCTGATTTTTGTGGGAAAATTCCTTGATGTTCTCTGGAAGGACAAGACATGTCCTAATTTTGTCTGATTAGTTTCAAGGATAAATTATTTGAATTCTTAACACATTTTTATGAATAATGACAGTTAGGACCAGCGTACCCTGTAACCTTTCATCTGTATGACTAGACAATCTTATGACTGGCAGGGCAGAACCCCAAATTGAGGTTAACCTTTACTTTGCTGATTAAGAATCAGATCTTAATATCCAAATGATGTTGATTAAGAGCTAGGTCCCATATTGTTTCAGGAAAAAGCTTCTTTCTGGAATTTGAGAGGTGATGATTATGAGCATCTTTCTGAGGTTTCAAAGATGCTATATAGAATGCTTCATCAATTTGGATGAGGTTGCCTGTTCAAAGCAAACATGGCCGCATGCCTGCATGCCAGAAACACCTTCCTGCAAACCTACATAGATTAAGTGTTTTACCCCAATCAAGTTTGACTTGCAAAAAAGAATAAGGAATGGTCATTGACATTACAGTACTCCCAAATTTGGCTGTACAGCATGCAACTGGCATGAGGTAATTTCACCCATGCCAAGTAGTAGCCAGCTATATGTGGACTACACCAAATGTAATGTTTTGATTACCCCTCACCAGTGTGCGCATAATTTAGTTTAGTGGTGGTTGTTTTACCTGACTGCTAAGAAAGCATAAATGCTTGTTAGTAAGCAACCAGAGGACTGACGGCTTTAGGTCCACTCCGAGGGACCTGGTAATGAGGGTTAATGCCTTACCAATACCAGAGGGCGCTTTAGCTCATCGACTTGATTTTGAACCCGGGTCACCAGATTACCATGCACTGCTTGGCCCAACAGAGCTATCGCGCCTCCTCATAAACAGTAATGATGATAATAATTATAAGATAGAATATTTTAATAGCACTAGCTCTTTAACATACATGGAGCTCCTTTCTGTCATGCATATCAAACACTCCCAAGGGAGCAGAGATGGTGCATACATTGTGTAGTGCACAATAATAGTGATTGTGTTGTGCTATTATATCTACAGAAAGTGCTATAATTGAAAAGCGCTATATAAGAACTAGCTATTATTATTATTATTATAAACATATTTTTTTGTTATCAACAAAAATTTGAAACTTAATTGGAACAATAGTCACTAGAGTTAGAAATAGATCAATGTGCCCTTCTTGGAGGTATTCATTTAGAAGATCATGTTTGTCTTTTTTTGGGGGGGGGGGGGGCTGGGTGGGGTCTGATTTCTG